ACGTCACGTGACAGCATTATCCCGACATACGCGTGATTGTCGGCGTCTGTGTCCTGCTCAGTGATTCAGATTGGTAAATTACTTTGAAGAAGTGTATAATTCATCGTAAAAAAACATCGTTTCCTCAAACATCATTCTTCTGATCCCATTGCAGATTCATTTTATTTACCCTTGGAGGGTCTTCTTTGCACAATATAAGGCTTAAAGTCCTGACCAAAGCAATTTGTTTCGGAGATTACCGCCCGGCATGGTCATTTTTGGACCGGCAATTTGTTCTTTCTGTATATAAATTTAAAACATTTTCGTAAAAAACACCCTTTTCTCGAGCCAACCGGTAAAATACCATTTGTCAGATTCCGTTGCGGACTTTTATTTTTGTATTAGAGTGAAGAGTCTTCTTTGCACAGTATGAGGACCAAAGCCCTTACTCAAGCCATATGATCGGGACAGTTCCGTTTTTTTGACCGGCTATTTGTTATTTATGTGTATAAACTTTAAATTTTTCGTTAAAAAACCAACACCATGTTCTCGAGCCAACTGTTAAAACGCCATCGTTGCAAACTCGGTTTTGTACTCTTTTTGAGGGCTTCTTTGCACAATATGAGGACAATAGCCCGAACCCAAGCAATATTTTCGGGAGATTTCCGCGTGGCATGGTCTTTTTTTTTTTTGACCGGCGATTTGTTCTTTCTAAATATAAAGTGTATCAATTTTCGTAAAAAAAAACAACAACATATTCTGGAGCCAACTTTTAATTAAAACATCTTTTTTTCTTATCTCATTGCGGATTCGTTTTTGTATTAGATGGCGGGACTTCTTTGCACAATATGAGGACCAAAATCCTAGCCCAGTCAATGTGCCCGGGAGATTTTCGCGCGGCATGGTCGTTTTTTGTACCGGCTTTTTGTTCTTTCTGCATCTAAAAATATAAAATTTCATTGAAAAAACACCATTTGTCTGATTCTGTTGCGGATTCGTTTTTGTATTAGTTGGAGGGTCTTCTTTGCACAATTTTAAATATGATAACTCTCGACAGGAGATCTGTAAACTGTTGAACTACATTGTATATGGTAACTCAATCAAAAGTTACCATCGTAAATATTACAGGATTTGTTCTGTATTATTCTGATATTGTAACTCTTAATAATTGTCAACGTAAATATTATTGGAATTAATCTGCATGATTCTGGTATGTTAACTTTGTCAACAGTTGTCACCTTAAATATAAAAGGCATACTTCTGTATTATTCCGTTCTGGTATGGTAACTCTGTAACAGTTGTCAACGTATTGCATGCGTTTACTGAATGACTGATTTTGCAGTATTTATCACTATATTTCTACTGCGTGACTAACGCAGTAAGGACTATTTTTGCATATTTATTGTAATAATTTTATTTGGTAACTTACTTGGATTGAAAGTGCCGTTTGCATTGTGTAAATAATTTTATTTGTTCGTATGAAAATATCCTATATTTTGACACATTTTAAAAACTTTTATGACAATATCAATCTGGATGCGTGCTGCTTAAACAGTGGCAATAACAGGGTGATTAGATATTATTTTAACAATGATAACAACGGCGTATTCTAAGAATAATAACAATGGCGCGATGTCATTGTAATACCAGTTTCAATGAAGAGAACACTTTCTAACAACGGCGGGAGCGGGCTATGACACTATGGCGGGATGTTGTTTTTTTTAACAATATGCATGTATAACTATACACATTTTTAGCTAATAGTATCAAAGTGGGATGCTCCGGCGTCCTTCGTCCGTCGACATGCGTCAACATTCAACTTCTTCTCTGAAACTGCTTGACAAATGTATTTTAAATTTGGTCAGTAGCATCCTTGTGACAGTCACACTTAAACTTGCTCATATCATTTCAAGTGGTCCCTTTTAGGGGCCTCTAGAGCTCAAAATAGAGAAACGAAACCTTTAAACATCTTCTTCAAATTAACTCATTGATTGATGATCACCAAACTTTGTATGCAGCATTCTAAGATGGTCTGTTAATTTGATTGGCCCCTTGAAGGTGCCTCTGGAGCTAAAAATAGAAACACCTTTTAACATCTTCTTCTACTGAAATAATTGATGGATGATCACCAACATTTGTCTGTAGCACTTTTGGGTAGTTTTTAATCAAAGTTGCTCACAATATTTGATCGGTCCCTTTTTAAGGGGTCACAAAAGCTTAACACATTAAAACCTTTTAAACATTTTTTTCTTCTAAATTAATTGATGGATGATCACCAAACTTTTCGGTAGCCTTCTTGGATGGTCGGTTATTAACTTTGTTCAAATTAATTTGATTGGCCGCTTCCTGTGGCTGCTAAAGCTAAAATAGAAAAACCTTTAAACATCTTCTACTGAATTAATATATTGATCGATGGATGATCACCAAACTTTGTCTTTTGCATTCTTAGTGGGATATTTATACACGTTTGTTCAAATCAATTTGATTAGCCCCTTTTAGAGGCCGCTAGAGCTGAAATAGAAAACCCTTAAAATAGCTTATACTTAAGAAATTAATGGATGAGCAGCAAGCCTTGTCTTTAAAATATTTAGAAGAAGAAAAAACAATCAGTGTTGGGGAAATGTTATAACTAGATGGGCAAGTTGAAGTTGAGCTGGACTTGCCTTTCGAACACTGACAAAACAGTTGCTTCTGGTGAGCGGTTCAGGGCCATCGTGACCCTCTTGTTTTGTTTCATTCAATTTTAATGCAGTGGCAACGAAGTGTTGGGAATGTTATTTCATCGATGATTACTTTATTATTGTGTTATGAAGATTTATGAGAGATATTGAATGAACTATAAACGTAAATATAAATTTTTCACTTTCATCTTTATACCGTCTTTTGTCAAATATATTTGATTTGTTTGGCCGAAAAAGGAAACCGTTTTGTTAATTTTAAACACAATACAAATAGCACAACGTAACTTTATTATTTGGCACCAAATTTAGATGTTACAAACCGCAAACTTGACTTGACTCGTCTACTCAAGACGTGGCTTGAATGGATACATTAAAAAGCAGGGTTAAAAGCCTACAGTACTCATTTTATTCATGAACTTGTTCTACCCCAAACTAAAAGAGACGATTTATTACCATTTCAATTATCAACGTAATATTTAAAAAAAATCAGTGAATACTAGTAGTCATTCTGGCTCTTTCAAGATATTTCTTTTGTTAAAAGAAATTATCAAACTTTGGTCCTATGAAAAGAAAGAGGCAATCATGTCAAAGTTGGTAAAAACCAGTTATTCGGACGCTTGAACCTATAATTAAGACATATAATCGGTTTCAAGCGCATGCGAACTAAATGTAGGGCGTTTTTGCTTACAATTGCGAAATACACGTTTGTAAACATTAATTATATTTGCAATGCGTATTAAGCTTTTGAATTATGACTAAATTATTCTCAAATTCAGAAAGTAAACAAGCTAAAATGTATGTTACAAACACACTTTGATATTTAATACAAGGTTACGGTATTAATTCTTTCGTAATGTCAAAAAAAAGATATTCAAGAAGGGAACGAAAATTGAAAAGTCAACAATATATAATATGTCATGTTAAGATGTATTATTATCTCACATAAGGTAGAAATTTGTCACTCAAGAAAACCTAATAACAGGAATCAAATAGTACTATGAAAATCGTTGAATTAGTAATTAAATGATTATTTATTTCCATATTTTTTATCATTATGAATATTCAAATTATAAAGTTTATCTAAAATAAGATAGGGTAGAATGTGAAGTCTTGTCGAAACTGAAATCAGTGCGCGTAAAACCGAAAATCTTTTCATCATTCCGGAGTAAACCTGTGCTTGTAATCTTTGCATGTTAAGTAAGAATGGACAAACACATAGTGAAAATGTTTTAAGTATTTCGAAAATGCATTGATTGGCAGAGAGAATCAGTAATATGTAAACCAGTCAATTTGTTGTAATACACAGTAATGTCATTCTCTACTTCCGGTTTGTGAAAGAAATTAAATAATGTACATTTATTTTAACACCATTTGAAATAACATCATTAAAAGCTACTTTCAAACTAGCACAGTTAGGAGTATGAGTTATAATACACGTGTCAACAAGTCGTTTGATAAAAATTTCACAAAATCGTTTCACGACATCTGTTAGTAAGTATCTTTCAGTATTTTCAGGTACTAACGAATACTTTTACTTAAGCGGGTATTGTCGAGTTTACTTAAAGGCAGCTTTGGGGCTTATAAGTAGTACCCAGTACAACAATAATCCCAACAACACATTCGGAACACATCGCCCATTATTCATTGACAAAAAGAGCTCTTAAAGTTGCGATTGCAACAACGAAGCAACGAATATAGTTAAACCACGTGACTTAAAACGTGTTTGATCCAGTCAGTACGCACAGTTTACCCTTGAGAACCAAGTTATTCCCATTGATACGTGTAAACAAATACATTCTATTTTTGTAATGTAAAATGATATTTACTAAAATACTGTCTTTAATTTTAGCCTTTTAAGGTCTTGTGCACGGAATTCAACTTTTTGGTAACTTTTTGTTTGCATTTCTTTGTTAGCTTCAGATTACTTATTTACCTACCGATTTCCGTCATCTTTATTGTTGATACGTTAAATAAATAGCCAACAACACTGACATTGACTGACATTGACTGTAAATGTTGACACAAGTGATGATTGTGAAATTGATTGACACCTTTAAGTCGGTGACCACTGACGTCATCATTGAAATTAATTCTATTAAAATGTCTACTTAAATTACATGTTTTCTGTGTATAGGGAATTTATGAATAAATATCTGTGTATATATACATGTTACCAGATATACAATATTTTTAAAGCTTTACATCGGACAGTCCCAGTTTATCAAACAAATATTGGCATTTTATCAAAGTGAACAGGCTATGCAAGAAAGTGTGTGTGTTCCGTGAGGGACTGGGGGCGTGGGACTGTAAATATAAAAATGCCATAGACATCTTATTAATAACGATTCATTTCGTTCTTTTTATTTACAAGTACATAATAAATTCTTTGTGGAAATTTGTCGACAAGGACCATTCCTAATGGACATATCTTAATAAAAGTTTTGACTGTTTTGAGATGCATTGCATCAAAATGACGTCAGTTACGACGTAACTATCGATGAAAGCCAAATGAGATTTTTCTTATTTACGTCTCTGGTGTTTTTGCCTATCACTCAATTTATAGGCAACCGTCATTTTTTGTTAGTTAGCTACTCAAAGGATTTCAATATATTCTCGCATTATGAGTCATGACGTCATCCTATCTTATGTATAACAAATACATGCGTCAGATGTGATAAAATTTACATCTCTTTTCATTTTTTGAGTTTACACCATATTTTTTCTCCAAGCTTGCATACCTGTGAAAAGAGTAAGAAAAGATATACGGCAAGATTTAAGCACATTTTAAAAGCACGCAACATAAAACTAATATCATGTTCTTCCAAAGGGAGTAAATACTTCGTTAAGTTAATATATCAATGCATTTTTAACATCATTTATAACACATAAAATTCAAAATAAACGAAACAAAGTATCACATACAACGTTTTGAATAAAAGGAGTAATGTATTTAATCATACATAATACAAACTTATTTTATTTCAGTTTAAGTTTTTTTTTCACTGAAATATTTCGCGAAAAAATACTACATGTACTTGTTTTCAAATATCATTTTCAAGGCTTGTTAAAGGAGCGCCACTGAGGTCATAAAAGCCTAAAAATATTAAGTTTGAGAATCTTGCATAGATCAAGTGATACAATTAAAATGGAAATTCCTGCAAATGATAATAAAGAAATATACTCAGAGTTAAAATAGAAATTGATTTTTGCACGATTTTTAGCCTTTTGAAAAGCGTTGCAATTCTTTTAAGATTTTTGGGTCATTTTTGCACAATAAAAAAATACTTATTCTGGGAAAATAGAGTGAGGGAATGAAATGAATTTTTTTCACACAAGTTATTAGTCCGGACATACATCAAATGGTACGCAAGACTCCAAAAATATATCAAGTCCGTTAAAGTTAAAAAACTCCAGTGGATTCTCTTTAAAATTATAAAGTCCATATATTTACGTATAGGGTTTGGCGGTGGTCTCCTTGGATTTACTGAAATGAAAATTATCTTTTTCTGTCAATACAAGTTTGAAAAGGCAAGTCGCGAAATATTAATATTATAATCCTTAAAATAATTCAAAAGCAAACGTTTTTGTCTTATTTAGCACATTAATTAAAGCGGTCTTCAGCTTTTTTAAGGTATAATAATATGTTATTTTAAGACAAATCGTTTCATGTAATTTTCAAATCAAAAGAATTAATGAAAAGAATGGAAACATTTAGGTAATAATTATCAACTTCACAAAGTTTAACCGCCAACGTTTCGAGATGATAAACCCCTTTTTATCAAGGAGTTTCTGTGTATTTTATGAATCACATTTTTATCTTCTTGTCTTAACACTATGTTTTTGCAGTATGAAAGAAATTAATTTGAAAAAGTAATTGTTTTACTAACAAGCAGTGTCTATTCTAGGATTTGAAAAACAGGGGGGATTTTATAAAAAAGTGAGAATTTATTACATTTGTTTACTTTTTTCCTTCTTTTTCTATGTAAAATTTCCCCCCTGCCTCTGAAAAAATAGGGGGGAATTCTCAAAAATAGGGGTGAATACCCCCCCCCCTCCTAGAATAGACACTGAACAAAAAAGAGCTGAAAACCGCTTTAAAGTAAATTCACGTACATTTGACGACATTCTGGAATGAAGATCCCAAGAGAGCTATGTAAGTGAACATTGCTGTAAGTTCATGAGAGCCAATGCTGTACAGAAAGTTTTTTTTTTTTTCAAAACATCTCTCACGACCCCTTAGCACAGACTGAAGCATTAACACATGTCTTGCTTTCATTTTTAATAGCAGTCTTTTTCTTATTGGAAAAATAAAAAATTGCATTCAGCATTTTACAAAAATGTATTTCCTGCGTCCACTTACTTTCAAGTCGGCCCCTTTTGTTCCAAGAAGAGCCCTCTGCGATAGAATCCAATGAATACTTCCTTCTTTTATGGCCAAAACTTTTATGCTTTCGTTTGCAACTAAAAAATACAAGCCAATAATTATGGTCACTAACATACATGATGAGATCATTCAATAATTGAAACAAAAAATTTAAAAAAGGTAAACATTAATGCCTCTTAATTAGAGATAATGGACACGCGTTTAAACATCTCTGATGTCCCTAAATCTTACATAAGTAGTATTAAGTCTCAAAACTATAACCATATTATAACAATCAATTATATTCAAGGACCAGAAAATAGGCAACCCAATCACAACAAAAATGAAATAATTTTGTCTTTTTCGTGTTTTTTTCTTCTTCTTATAAATGTATTACTTTTTTGCTTAATGCACTTTATTGGCATTTCTTTTGTTCTAGATTTGTATCCAAACAATTGTATCAACAAACACAGAACATCGGTATACATGCTTGATTTTGCAGGACTCAATTATTTAAGCTATTCTATATTACGAATGAAGAATATTGTATATATATAATTCTTAGACAAACTTTTCATTTGTTTTACCACAAGGATACAAATGCACCTGGAAATTTCCAAGCTCACGTGATAATCCAAACGGACTACAAACATTAATTACAACGTCCTTGACCATTGAGCGAGTCCTTGGTGCTTGATTATAAATTATATTCCTGTTGAACTTAATAAATAAATAAATAAATAAATGAATAAATAAATAAAAAAACGATCTGAAAATATTTCAAATCTTGTTCAACAATGAAAGATTATATTAGTTGATATTTTAGCCAATGGAAGTTAACGTGGGCAAAATGCCATTAAATACTTACAATGTTCTTTTAAATTGACCACACCCATTTTTTCCATGGCACGTGAAAATGACGTAAGCAAGAACGCCAATACAGACAAGTAGGGCAGCAATACATGCCGACAACCATGCGATATTCTTATTGTCTTCCAGGAAAGAACGATACCTATCCGTGGTGGTTGTCGTACTTGTGGTCGTAGTACCTGATGAATATAGTACATGGTTAGATAATAGCAAACTGCCTTATGGGATATTATTAATTTATTTTTCAATATAAGGCCCGTTTTCACTTCAAAAGTAAGGCTAATATGTTCACCACGACATTAAGAACATAAGATAAGGCCATTATGCAAAAAGTACGGCCTTTATGAGGAGAATCGGCTATTATGAGATTTGAGCATTTTGATTGGCTCTCCAGCTCGGCCATTCTGAATTTGCTTTATTTTTTTCATTGAAAAAAGTCTCGAGTTTTTAACTGCTGCAAGGTAGGTTTCCGAGATGTTTTTAAAACAAGAATCTCATTTGCAATACCTCACAACGGAATTTCACATAAGTTATTTTTGTTCACTAAGTACTTAACATTTTTGGACTATATGTAGTTAATAATATAAAATTGTCAATAATTAAGTGTTTTCATAATGGCTTTGTTATTGGGCTTTAGACTGTCATATTAGCTATTATGAAAACACTTAATTATTAACATGATAATAATAACAAAGTGCATTGTTGGATAATAACTATATATAAGAAATAGAATCATACACTACACGGAGTAAAAACAGAGTAAAAAATGAAAACATGTCTGACAAATATAAACCATAGAAAATAACCATAGCGTTCGACAATAATGAGCACGTGACAACTTACCGGAAATTATTAGGACAACAGACGCTGTATCTGTCCTGGCTCCTATATCTGAAGCCGTAGCTGTAACTGTGACTGAAGTGCCGAATGCTAAATCACTGCCCTGTGGTGTCAAAAGCACTGTTATTTCGCCAGTATTGCTGATGCCAAAATATTCCAAAGACAGGCTACTCTGGTCTAACGTGTACGTTATGACGCCATAAGGACCGGTGTCGGCGTCAGTTGCGGTGACTGTGCCAACGGAGGTGCCGGTTGAGGCATAGTAACTGACGTGGAAACTGTAAGTCGTAGGAGAGAAGACTGGTGGATTGTCGTTAGCATCAGCTGTTAATTTTTACAATAAGACACATTACTAGTATTTCATTGAAACGAAAGAAACAACAACAAAAAACAACAACAACCAAAAAAAAAAAAGATATTGAAATTAAAAAAATAAACGCCTTTTTTAACTATATGCTACAAGAAAAACTATGCGTTATAATGCATTTCTTTTTCAGTACCCTATACAAGGTAACAGGAATATATAAACTAGAGTTATTGCCCAAACAAATGAAAAACAGAGAAGGCCATACCAAACTGATTTCTAATTCTATGGATGTTTTATACATGCAATATGGACAAGCCAGGGAAAAAGTATTAATTTGAAAATCCATTCTCAAAGATGGTATTATGTCTCTGATTATGTTAAATAGTAATTATTACAATAAATGATTTATATAAACCTAACCATGGCTTTTAATACTGGCTCAATTCTGAAATGTGTCCTGCCAATTAATTCTTCCATAGTCTTTTTACATTTTGTTATCAAGTTCTGTGTATTTTTTCATAGTGTAATAATTTCATTATTAAATAACAGGAATAACGAAAGGAAGAAAATTTTATAACTATATATTTTTGTCAATTGTATTTTGCGTGACATGTGTAGAAAAGTAGGTCGCGAAATTACATGACGTTTGTTTGTCCTGCAAATTTTTTACTTCATTTTGTTTTGTTTTAAAATCCTACAAAACAGGCAGGTTGTAATCCAACGATTAGAGCAGTGTTGGTGTCGCCATAGGTAAAAAATAGAAAATACGTACATATTGTTATTGTCAAAATTGCTGTATCTGTAAGGCCCCCGCTATCGGTCACCGTCACTGTACAATTACAATTGGCTGGTAGAGATCCAGAGTCAAGGTCATAGTCGGATTGATAGCTCACTTGCCCGGATGAATCCATGACGAAATATCCGGTATATGCACCGCATTCATTGGACAATGTTTTTGTATCATCGGTGTCAGGGTCGGTTATACCAAATGGCGGCGTTCCTATCACAGTACCAGCCTAGTTGTAGCAGCAAGAAATAAATACACAAGTACGTTTATCAGACTGTTTCATTTATTATTAACATGAGCTTCAGCTAATTTAAAATATATATATATTTTTTTTAAATTACAGATACAGTACTAGATCTATTTAACTTTTCGTTTGTCTATATTCTAAAATTACAATGTTTACGTCATTGCTATCTGAAGACTGAAAATAATAAAAGTGACTATGTATAATATCATTATACAGTCTGTAACGATGAGTCATCACAAAGTTTGTGAAAAAGTTCTAGAATGGTAAACATACATTTCCCTCTGATGTGGAGATTGTATAGCTGGTCTGGCTGAATGAAGGTTCCTCATTTTCATTTATGACTTCAATCGTGAGCGTCTTGGTGTCTGACGTCACAGGATCAGAGACAGTGACGTCAAAAGGAAATGTTGTTGTTCCGATTGTTTCGTAATCAATTGCAGTTAAAATCGATACTAGTCCAGCTAAATCAAAAACATGAAAACCAAGAATATCTTTAAGGTATAAAACAAGTTAAAGTTATATTCTAAACAATCTGATGAAAATCACGCTCGCATTAGGATCTGACGACCACCAATAGGCTGTCACCTTCTCGCGACCTTTCAAACAACTAATCATCGACGGGCTTTTATATACAATGCCGATACCGTTTCTAATTTTAACCGCTGGAAAACCAATACTGAGTAGGAAATTTCGAGAACGAACATGGCATTGTCCATATAGTCAGTAGGTTAACTGGCAAAACAATCTTGCCCATAAACATTGAGTCAATTATTTCCATTTAATTTGTTTCTAATTACTTCAAACATTTATTTCTAACAAAAACAACAACAACAACAATTTGTTTCTACTTCCACGGACAACGATATTTTGATACTTCGTCTAATCTGTAAAGGACGGTTTGATTGCATGGTTAAAATAGCTTTCTCGGGAAATCCGAATTACAATGAAGCCGAAATGAATACGGTAGCAATAAGATCTACATGTAAGAAATAAGTAGATCTGAACTTTAGTCACATTGTATTCTAAATACCAAAACTAATCATTGTTTTTGTCATGGAAATCTTTGAAATAGCCCCTCCATAATGTTATTTATGACAAATAAAAGGTTTCATATCGACTGAAGGACTATGTTTTGTGACATACTTAGTATTGAAATGACAAGAGAAATCGCCATTCACTACTATGCAACACAGAGAGTGTTGAAACTTTTACTATAATGACATTAGTTTTCTTGTCATATGAAATGTGAAATATATTTTGATAATTCATTACTCACTTGATGAAATGCTGAAGTATGTCAGTCCAGTTCCAGATGTAGCCATTGAAAATGTATGAGCCTGAAAAGTGTCACTGTCACTGTAAGAAACGTTGAAAACAACTGTTCCAACAGCCGTGTTTTCCACAACAGTTATCGTCAAGGGGAGATTTGAAATAATAACCGGGTCGTTGATATCTGTCGTAAAATATTGATACATTATAAAGAAACTTTTTAGACATTTAAAGATATAAATTTTGATAATATCCTAACTGGAACATTGGAAAAGAAATACAAAAAGATTGGTCGAACTCATCCGAACTTATACGGTGAGTGTCTTTTCAAGTGTTTTAACCAAATCAAACCTATAGTACATCACTGTACATGTTTATCTTAATAAGTTTGTTATAATATTAAGAAAACCGACAACACAAATTATAAAGACTAAAATAAAAAGAACGTTGCAACACATATATCTAAAGTTAAAAAAAAACTTAAAATCATAATAAATGACAAGATGCTTAAAAGCTTTTTGTCACCTGCTACCGTAATTGTAAGGATTTTTGGACCAACTGTATTTTTTCCATCAGAAACAGTTATATATGCGTCATATCCAACAGTTGTATGTCCTGACATGTCCTCCGTTATCTGTATTTGTCCAGCTGAAATCATCAATAGTATGTTTACAAATAAACAGTAAAATTGTTTCAATATATGAGAACATATTGTACAGCGTGCATATCCAGTAACGCCGAAATGTGTAAATTACTACTAAAGACACGATGGTGACATTTCAACTTAATAAATTCTCGGGTTCATCCTCACGAATTTACAATTTTAACTTCATGAATTTACGATAACAACATACAGAATTCACGAATTTACGGTTTCAACTTCATGAATTCAAGATTCCAATTTCATAATCTGTTATTCACATTAGCATGTATTTTGAAGACATTTAGGACCAGTATTTATAGTATTTATGGTCCGTTGACCGAGACATAACTTGTCTCTCTATGCAATGCTTTTGAACTTCACCAGAGGCTATGAAAAAACTACTGAGCTAGAATACAGAAGGTCGGTGGTTCTACTCAGCTGGTGAAATATTGCATGGAGGACACTAAGTTCTTCCTTTGCTAGTTAAAGCTTGATAATTGCAATATTATTTGATAGTGCCGATGTGACTTCGTATAAACAAATCGACAACAATAACATGAAGAACATATTAAACCCTGTAATGTCCTCTACTATGATAAATTTTGCATAACTAATTATCTGTTAGATATATTATCAAAACATTGAAAAGAATTCTGAATATATCATATGAAATAGCTTACAAGCAAATATTGTGAAGGGACATGGTGAAGGCACACACGTCATTGTAAACGATACGTCATCGATGTCGTAAACAAGTACCGTAAACACATTAGTGCCGATTGTATCTGTTGTTGAAATAGACGTGGAATCTGCAAGGTAAACACATGTTTCTGCATTATCTTTGCTACAGTACATGTTCATTTTTTCTTGTAGGCTAATTTCTCGCAATTGTAAAATTTTAAGGAGTTCTATTTAGGTGCTGCATCTTTATTGTATATTTACTAGATTAGATCTATAATATTTTTTCCTTTACATAGTCACAGACACTTGGGGTTTGGAGCTCAAAACGCCTTTAAAATCCAATTAAATGCATATTTGTCAATTCCAGCACATGTTCTGATCATATATATCAAAAAAACTTAATATAAGCCGTTTTGAAAAAATTTCATATTTCAACATCTATAATAATACACAAGATAAAAATGTTCGCCGGAAAAAATCCGCACCCCTACCGTCATAATCACCATGTATTTTATTCCATTTCCAATATTTTCACATAATCCTTTGGTCTATCAACACAGAAGATATAATTCTTCACGATGATGGTCAATTTTAAACTTCAAAGGTAATATAAACAATGCAACAGCCGAAATAAACATCAAGATTATCGCCGTTTTTCTCCATTGACAAAATCTTTCAAACGTCAAATAATTGAAATTGTTCATGACGGGCAAACTTGCAATTGTGCACAAGATGTCATTGCTAATTTTGCTCTAAATGCGTTTCTTTTACTGAAAACAACGCATTTTAGTCCCTGTTCGGTCATTGTACTCATCACCCAAAACAACTTTGTCGAGTTTCAGGCCTAAACAGAGAGAGCTACAAAGTAACTTATAACAGAACAGTACGTAAAATTCAAACGTGGCCCCAGCTTTGCCGTGTGCAAAATGCGCAGCGCTTTTAAGTTTGGGAACCAAATAATCGGATGGCTTCGTTCATAGCCGACTGTCACGTTTGAATTTATCGAAAGATTTTGTCAATGGAGAAAAACGGCGATAATCTTGATGTTTATTTCGGCTGTTGCATTGTTTACATTACCTTTGAAGTTTAAAATTGACCATCATCGTGAAGAATTATATCTTCTGTGTCGATGGACCAAAGGATTATGTGAAAATATTATAAATGGAATATAATAACATTGATATAACGTGGGTCGGATTTTTTCCGCGGATGAACACTTAAATATTCTGTAAAATTATTATGAGTTGAATAGATAGTTGTTTTTACCAAAAACGGTTAAAATTCAGTTGTTATTTTGTACATCTATGATAAGGGTAAGTTTGAGTTGCATAACAAATATGCATATTTATTTTGGTTTAAAGTAAGTTTGAAGCTTCCAAATAAATCTTTAATAGTCATTTATCTTGTATTTTTCATAGTAGAACAAAAGTCGATACTAGACTAAATGAAATTCTCTTTTTAGTCGCCTTCCCTTCTATTTTTCATAATACTTCATAGAACCGCGTTCGTACAAATAGTCGTGACGTAATAAAGAGAATATTAATTAAACCAAATAAAGCTTGATCGCCTTCTTCTGTAGAACAGTTCGGATGAACACTAACATATACATAGAAAAAATTACTTTGAAGGTTGAGGAAGATAGGTTCCGCATTTTTGACCAAAGATACGATGAAAATATCACTGTCTGTGTATTGTCCGTCCGTACACTCTATTGATAAGGTGTAGGAGTTTGAAGTTGCATAATCAAATCCAGGAGATGCATCACTGCTAATGATTTTGTCTATAAAAGTAAAAGTTTCAAAACGTTCCAAATTAAAATCTATAATAGACACATTATGCCTTAGAAACAAATAATTTTTTACTTCTCGTGGAAGGGTTAACATGTATTTTGTAATGTTTAAATAATGGTTTTAGAGAATAATTGATGCCTGAAGAAAGTGGCGATAAATGTGAAAAAAAATTATCGTCAAAGTAGCAAAATGTAAACAAAGTATTATTTTGACTTTCATACAAATCACTATAACTATATTGCCAAAAAGCGACAGATGAAAAAGATGGTTCAGGTAATTGCCCATAGGGTATCTTTTGGGATACTTTAAAAGTACACCAAAATTAAAAAGCTTTTGAGAATTAAAAATAAAAGCGTTTCTAAGGCATAATAGGCCTTAAACACGTTAATGAAATATATAAGTAAATAATCTATAAAGATCGCAAGTTATGATGACATGTATGTTTAAAAAAGGAAAAGAATATAAAATATTAGCGGGAGTTTATGTTTAGATCTATACTGAGTATGAATTTTGATTTCATTATTTTTATTAATGTTATCATTGTTTATTTGTTTTCTAATTTGTGTTAAAAGTATAACGTTATTTAAAAATATCCATGCACTTTTGAAATAATGAATCGTTTGTTATATCATTATTTTCTGTATTTTAACCATTTATGCGCATGCGTGTCAATAAATTGTTTCGACGACCATTCCATTATTGAAAACTAGATGATTTTTTGTTTTAAAAAATCGAGATATTTACAGACCAGAAAACAACCTTTGAAATACATGTATAAGTAAAATAGAAAATTATGTTTGAATGATAAATGCCTATATATCCAATGTTGAATGGTGCTCCTGCAGGTGTTGTGCTGTCAATAATGCACGTGGTTGTGCTTCCCTCGGGATCGGTGACGTTTACTGTGAATAATGACGTAGCAATCGTTTCGTCCTCGCTTATGGAACTGGTGGCTGGAAGGTTGGTTATAGTTGGAGGCTAATGTAATAAAAAAATATGTTATTTTCCTTAACAACCGGCACGCGCTAAAATGAGTATACACATGATCAAAAGATCAAAATATAAAATTTAAGACAACAAAAGTTTATTAAATACTTTATTATTCACAATGAATGATATGTGACTTTCGTTTCGTATAGTATAGCTGATTAAACTATTTTTCTCAAATTATGTACCCCGTCACTGGCGGATGAAGGACAATTCAAGAAAGCTAAATTTAACTGGTTAAGTTAATACATATTGTGAAGAGACAAAAAAACAATTACTATACTCGTAGTAACGAATTTACAATCAGTAAATTTCCAAAAAGAGCAAATTGAAAGACATGTACCGTTAGAATATGGTAATTATACTGTTTTAAACATTATAATGAGTAAATGAATTTCTGAAAGCTTTTACTTTCTAATATCTAGTCATTTGTTATAATATTGAATTTTCTTTAAAATGTTGTTATCTGAAGACAACATTTAGTTGCAACATATGATTTATGATAATTTTAACATAAATTAATCAAGTTTTTACAATTATTGTTATATTTTAAGTATACATATTTGACAAAATATACGAATACTCAGATTGACTTCTATAGTTTGCACTAACTGTAAAAATAAACTTTAGATTTTTCACCTGTTGAGTTATTGAAACAATTAGCGTGGTGTGGCGATTAGAATGGTCTGTTAACAAATTTAAAGGTCAAGCTGAAAACTCAACTTGCAGCGTAGTAACTTCATCTGAAAGAAAACAAGAGAATGAGCCGCGTCACGACAAAACCAACATAGTGCATTTGCGACCAGCATGGATCAAGACCAGCCTGCGCATCCGCGCAGGCTGGTCTGGATCCATGCTGGTCGCAAACCCATTATGTTGGTTTTGTCATGACACGGCTCAAATGCATACTTCAGAAAAAATCAACATAACTACATTTAGCAGCAACGTATTTACATTTACAGCAACATATTTACATTTAGCAGCAAAATAGTGATTAAGGGCAGCAAAATGAACCCATAATGATAAGGCATAATACATATATTTATACAGAGCTGGAAAATATTGACTTAGGGCAGGAAAAATACCTAGAGAAGAAAGGTATTTAAATATAGCAGCAAAATATTGATTTAGGGCAGCAAAATGTACACATAAAGCATTATACATAAATGTACACAGAGCAGGAAAATAATGACTTAGGGCAGCAAGAAGAAAAAACTAATGGAACAAAATATTAACAAAGAGCAGAAAAATATTTACATTTAGCGGAAGGATACTAAGAATAATATAAACAAAATTGGCTTACACGTTGTTCCATTAAAACTGTAGTCAGAATTGGCGGTCATGATAACGCTGAGGGTGCTAATGTCGTCTGTGTCGACATCTGTGACGCTTACATCATAAACAAATGAACCGGAAGCAGTATTAGCGATTATGTTGACAGTATTTGGCAAATTTGTGAACGATGGCTCGGTATCTAAAATAAATTATTCTGATTAAATAAGCAAAATGAAAGTCCTTGTTACAATTTTTATTATTACAAAACAAAGTCCATATTTAGGCTGCAAGTAACTAAGGGCCATCAGAAAAACACGGACGTTGCAAAAAGCACTTCAGAGCAATACAGTATTAATAAATTAACAGGAAATGTCAGTATGTTTGAATATAAATTATTATAATTCTGCATACAAAAGCGCTCGTAGGTCGTCAAAAAATTTTACATTATTTCAATGTGTTTTGTTATATATTAAAAGGACTCTCAAGTCAGTGTCAGAAATTGTATACAATGATTTTATGGTCGTCAAAAAGGCTCGCTTTGTAACAACATTTTGACATAAATCATATGACAACTCCTGTGAAATCATATATATGTTTTATTTTGATGAAGGCTCCGAGACAACGACATTAGCACGGCCCATCAGATAAAATCATACTAGATCGCCCGCTTAACGCTCGTAGCAATGGCCGACAGAAAAAAGTGCAAACCATGCACATGCAGTCTTAACTTTCGTGAAGTCCCACCATAGACTATGTTTGCCATTTACACTTTAAATTTATTTAATGATGAAACCGGACAGAATCAGTTTTGCAAGTTCTTTAGTTTAAGTATATTTATTTAAGTTCGATTGGCGAAACCGGTTCTTGCAACTTATATAAATCACTTTCGAGTCCGCTTCCTGGAAGAAATATGGTCGTTGCCTAAGTAGGGTTCGAACCAATAATCCTTGGTTGAGAGGCAGACACCTTAACCATATGGCCATCACTCCCCTTTTGTACTGATCTGTTACTACAAACTCTAGAAGGTCCACATCTGAAAACTCAAACGTCGCAGCCGTAGTTACTTCATCTGAAAGAAAACAAGTAAATGAGCCGCGTCACGACAAAACCAACATAGTGCATTTGCGACCAGCATGGATCCAGACCAGCCTGCGCATCCGCGCAGTCTGATCAGGATCCATGCTGTTCGTTTACCAACCCTTTTACAAGTAGAGAAAATAATAGCGAACAGCATGGATCCTGATCAGACTGCGCGGATGCGCAGGCTGGTCTCCATGCCTGTCGCAAACCCATTATGTTGGTTTTCTAATGACACGGTTCAATTGCATACTTCAGAAAAAGGGCAGCAAAATATTGGAATATGAAATAAAACATTAACGTAGAGAAGCCAAGAAAAGACATATAACAGCAATATATTGACTTACAGCAGCAACATATTTACATTTAGCAGCAACATAATTACATTTAGCAGCAACGTATTTACTTTTACAGCAACATAATTACATTTAGCAGCAACGTAATTACATTTAGCAGCAACGTATTTACTTTTACAGCAACATAATTACATTTAGCAGCAACGTAATTACATTTAGCAGCAACGTATTTACTTTTACAGCAACATAATTACATTTAGCAGCAACGTAATTACATTTAGCAGCAACGTATTAACATTTACAGCAACATAATTACATTTAGCAGCAACGTATTTACATTTATCAGCAACGTATTTACATTTACAGCAATATATTTACATTTAGCAGCAAAATAGTGATTAAGTGCAGCAAAATGAACCCATAAGGCATAATACATATATTTATAGATTGACTTAGGGCAGGAAAAATACCTAGAGAAGAAAGGTATTTAAATAAAGCAGCAAAATATTGATTTAGGGCAGCAAAATGTACACATACAGCATTATACATAAATGTACACAGAGCAGGAAAATATTGACTTAGGGCAGCAAGAAGAAAAACTACGGGAACAAAATATCAAAAAAGAGCAGAAAAATATTTACATTTAGCAGAAAGATACTAAGAATAATATAAACAAAATTGGCTTACACGTTGTTACATCAAAACTGTAGTCAGAATTGGCGGTCATGATAACGCTGAGGGTGCTTATGTCGTCTGTGTCGACATCTGTGACGCTTACATCATAAACAAATGAACCGGAAGCAGTATTAGCGATTATGTTGACAGTATTTGGCAAATTTGTGAACGATGGCTCGGTATCTAAAATAGATTATTCTGATTACATAAGCAAAATGAAAGTCCTTGTTACAATTTTCATAATTATAAAACAAAGTCCATATTCAGGCTGTAAGTAATTAAGGGCCATCATAAAAACACGGACGTTGCAAAAAGCACTTCAGAGCAATACAGTATTAATAAATTAACAGGAAATGTCAGTATGTTTGAATATAAATTATTATAATTCTGCATACAAAAGCGCTCGTAGGTCGTCAAAATATTTTACATTATTTCAATGTGTTTTGTTATATATTAAAAGGACTCTCAAGTCAGTGTCATGAAATTGTATACAATGATTTTATGGTCGTCAAAAAGGCTCGCTTTGTAACAACATTTTCACATAAATCATATGACAACTCCTGTGAAATCATATATATGTTTTATTTTGATGAAGGCTCCGAGACAACAACATTAGCACGGCCCATCAGATAAAATCATACTAGATCGCCCGCTTAACGCTCGTAGCAATGGCCGACAGAAAAAAGTGCAAACCATGCACATGCAGTCTTAACTTTCGTGAAGTCCTACCATAGACTATGTTTGCCATTTACACTTTAAATTTATTTAATGATGAAACCGGACAGAATCAGTTTTGCAAGTTCTTTAGTTTAAGCATATTTATTTAAGTTCGATTGCGAAACAGGTTCTTGCAACTTATATAAATCACTTTCGAGTCCGCTTCCTGGAAGAAATATGGTCGTTGCCTAAGTAGGGTTCGAACCAATAATCCTTGGGTTGAGAGGCAGACACCTTAACCATATGGCCATCACTCCCCTTTTGTATGTAATGTATACCACTTCTTTACATTAAAAAGTGCAATAAACCTTTCAGCATAATCTTTATGCTTTACTTCAACTCACTGTCTCGTACTCCCATCTTTATTGCATACGTTCGGTCATTTTCTACGTTCGATCCGGACCAGTCTAGGGTAGCTCCCTCAGAAGGTGAGGTCAAGGTCATCATCAAGTTATTATCTTTTTCACCACCACCTTTCTTGTAAGTTATCAAATCATATCCTTCACTCCACCTTTAAAATCATACAAGATACATTACTCAGTCTCAACAATTTCACGCATTACCCTTCACTGTTATAATTTGCAAGATCTATTTTTCCATCTTTAAATTGTGAGATCCATTACTTCACTTTTAAAATCAGCAAGGTCCATAACTTAATCTTAAAATTCTGCACTATCAATTATAATGATATCAGATGTGACATCAAGGGTGTAATAACAAACGCGTAAAAAAGTACCTCTCTATTACAAAAATACAATATAATTATTCTTTTCTATTCCCTTTATATTAGATCATAGACTATCAATAGTACTTGCGTTGCTGTAGAATTTTTCAAAGTTTATCGTTCAATTTGAATGAAATCAACCATCAATCAATCAATCAATCAATCGTACCTACATTATTACGTACATAAGTATGCGCCTAAACTAGAACCGTCTATTATCATATAACAATGCACACAATATTTAAATCGTAGTTTGAAAATATAATGATCTTGCTCAACAGTTTACATATCTATATCTTGTAATATTTTTTTTACAAACAATGGACTGCTCGGTTCGATTCTAAATGTCCCCTAGTGCTTTGTCCTTTATCTATGATCCCATTCAAAAAACATTTAACAATTCATTTAACTATAGATTTTGTATATGTGCCTTGTATTAATGTGTATTGTATTTAATGTTATATATTTGTACCCGTTTTGCATGTATTGACAAAGGCAATATTTTGCCAATTTGCAAATAACATTTTTGAACTTTAATATTCTTTCAAAATGGGGTAACTATAGAATGTATGAAAATAATTAAAAAGTTGAAAATAATTTAATCAACGAAAATATTTACATACCAACCATATTTATCTCCAGACTTGACAGTAATTCTCTCTGATTGACCAATGTTCACTGAATCTGTGCCATCTGTTGCTAAATAAATATCCCATATGATTAGTGTCACCATAAATTGAACCTTCTCAAAAGTGATAATATTTATAATAAGATATTGATTGTAATGATTTTATAAACAATTTCAGAGGTGATAAAAATTGCTGTTGCGCATTATTTGGTGGCCGTTTTACGTTATGTTTTAGTTTTGCTTTTTCGTCACTAAAATGCGGACACACGAACGCCAAAATGTGACCGTTTTCCTTCAATTCTTTTGGGGGTTTAATTGTTTTGCTTTTTTTAGAAAAAGGGACGACAAAATTAAACAAAATGCGACATATGAACAGTGTCGTGTTTTCGACTTTTATTTTGCCATATCCTCATTTTCGCATATTTACTCTCTTTTTTGTATATTTCCGCATTTTCGCATTTGTTGTGTTTTCGCTTACTCGCATCTTCGCATTTCGGTAACGCATGTGAAGATCTGTTTCACGTATGCCATATGATTCAGTTCGTAGACTTTTTAATTTCTCATCTTTTCGTGTTTTTATACTTTTCGGATTTTGTGGCGAAAGACGCGAAAATCAGCCACCATTCTTTTATTATATTACACTGTAACAATTTCCTGAAACAGATTTAATTTGTAATGGATACCTACATACAGTCATTGAGTTCTGTCCAACAAGTTCCATTGTGGAACTACCGGCAGTGACTGGTCTCCAAACCTGGAAATAAACCGTTCTAGTGCCGGAAACGTTGTAAAATCGAGCCTCCCATTTGTCCACGACTCCACAACAGTCAAAGTCAATAATGTATTTATCGTCGCTCATCACATATCCGAAATCTAGAAATAAACTTCAATGATTAACTCAACAGTTAATTAACAATTTAAATGTATAGAATAACTTACCATGTGACGCGGCGTCTTAAAAAAGGGGTTCACAACAACTCAGTAAGAATCGCCATTACGTAACCAGAAGACTAGGAAAAGATATTAGGTATGCTATGAAGGCACTGGAATATTGCAGAACCGAGGTGTTTGGCCCAAACAAACTTTCGACCTGACAGGGTTATTTAGCTTTGGAAACAAAAAAGTCATAGGGAGCAAAGGAGCATTGTGATGTGAATACTGAATACGGAGGATGGGGGAGCACAACGATTTGTTTCTGCTTTTAAAAAAACAAACTTTTTTCTTTAGGAACAGTTGATTATTTTGTAATTTTGACTTTTTTTATGTGTTACATGGTAAATTGTAAAATATGTTTTTATCTTTTGATATCAATTTTATAAAGCTCGTCTGATAGAATACAGTAGTACTGGGGAACGTAATTCCCGTTTCGTTTACTTATAAATTGTTAACGTTCGGAGATGAATTGATTTCAGTGTAAAAAGTTGTTACAAAATGTAAATGTTTAACACCAAATGAATTCAATTAATATCAATGATGTTAATTTCAGAGAAGTTGCACCATTTTAGCTATATTTGAATATACTCTTTTGATCTCAATGCGCTTGAAATTCATTGTACAAATTAGGAAACGATGAAATTGTAATTGTTAGGGTTAAACATTGAAGGATGTCTTTTTGCGGCTATTTTACCTTTCAAGTTTTTTTTCACATCAAAAAGAAACTTTAATTGAACAGTAAATTAATATGAAATTATGTTCCACGGTTTTTATAAACATGAAACCAAATATTTGCATTCAACATGTCCAACAAAGAAGACATTTTATGAAAATCCCTTTACATACGAGTATAATACGTACCAAATCGTACAATACATGCATGGAAGCCCTTTGATTATAGAACAGCAGTTTAATTATGTTTACAATATTTACCCCGAATATGAAACAGGCTTTAGTAATACAAAATCCCTGAAATAATTTATAAAGTTGTTAATCTTGTCAAACTAAATATTTTGTTGAGACAAAAATTATGTAAGAGTTTTCGACAAAATATCTTATAAATAACAAAATACCTTATAGCAGATGATATAAATAAAAATTATCTTTTAACAAATGATATAAAAAATATCTTACTGTAACAAATGCTAAAAAATACAACAATGATATGATATAAAAAACTTTATAACAAATTATATAATAACATCTTTTAACAAATGATATAGACAAAAATGTATTATAGACATAATATATGACAAAAATGACATAAAAGACTGCAAAAAATTGATACGGAAATTTTTGTTTCGACTTTGTTACGTTAACGTTGCACCCGTTTTATGATTTTTACTCTTATGTTATTTTTTTCCTTCATTTTTTTTTTAAATTTCATCTGAGATTCTAGTATATTAGTTTTTATGATATAATTGTATAATTTCAAATGTAATAGTAAGAAAACATAATATCATTGAATGTAGAGATATCTTTTCCTATTCATAAAATGTGCAGTCGTGAGCGTCTTTTGTATGTTTTACTTAAATTAGAAATTATGTGATAAAAAACAAACACAAAATAAACAAAACAAAAAAACGTACAAAAAAGAAAAGAAAAAAAGGAGCAGCTCTTAATGCTTTTTGTTATTGATCTTTTGTAAGATATGCGTGTATTTTACCTAAATTGGCATCTAAATTGTCATCTGCTTTGATGTCACCGAAATCTTTGTTTCCGCACGGTTGGCTATCTACAAATACAATTAAAACAAGAAATGAGCCGCGTCACGACAAAACCAACATAATGGGTTTGCGACCAGCATGGATCCAGACCAGCCTGCGCATTCGCGCAGTCTGATCAGGATCCATGCTGTTCGCTTACCAACCCTATTACAAGTAGAGAAACTGATAGCGAACAGCATGAATCCTCATCAGACTGCGCGGATGCGCAGGCTGGTTTGGATCCATGCTGGTCGCTAACGCACTATGTTAGTTTTGTCGTGACGCGGCTCAAATATCTTTAATAAAGATACACAGCAGAGGTAAAACTGGTTAGCTTGCATTTGTTATTTCTAAGTTTTCGATACATATAGAAATGTTAGCAGTGTTTACAAATTTCAATTTGTAATTTAAAATGACAAATAAAAAATATTCTTATAGTCTGTTCTTTCCTGTCAGTTCTACAGGAAATTAAACTGATTTTAGATGACATTCGACCAAAATGTAGTGGAAACTAGAAATGTGTCCATAGGACACGGATGCCCCCACATGCCACTATTCTGTCAATCTTATGACTCTAAGTCAAATATTTTTTGGACTACATGTGCCATAAGTTGAAAACTCAAAATCAACAAAGGGCCATAAATCTTTTAAATTTGGTCGCAGCAAAAATTCCTTCCTTTACTACCATCTACACATTAAGGTTGTTCATCCCTGGAAGTTTAAGCAAAATCTGCCATCCGGTTTAAGAGAAGTTGCGTTCACAAAATTTCCACATAGTATATAGTGAAAAAATCAACAAAGGGCCATAATTCTGTTAAATTTGGTCGCAGCAAAAATTCATTTCTTTACTACCATCTACACATTAAGGTTGTTCATCCCTGGAAGTTTAAGCAAAATCTGCCATCCGGTTTAAGAGGAGTTGCGTTCACATTTTATGCCCCACATTGTGGGGGTATAAAAACTAATATAATTGTGTACATCAGTACGGAGACCTTTAACCCTTTACCTCATGAGCCTATTTTTTCATTGAAAAGCCTCCTGTAACAAGTTCAAACTGCTATGAAACTATGAAAAATGCTTCAATACTGATGAAACTTGGCACAAATGTTGACTGGACCATAGCCTCTGTAACCATGCTCAATCTTAAATTTCCTGTTACCATGGCAACGAAGGGAAGTCTTAAAATTGCGAAAAAAATCACTATTTTGCATTGTTTTTTCCAACAAAACTTCAAAGTGCTGCAACTTCTCAATGGATTAAGATAGAGTAAAAGGCTTTTCAGCGTTGGTTACACGTTACCTTACGATCGACTTGAGGCCATTTTAGCATGTCACATGTCCAAAATGTCCTTGGCGAGGTACCTTTTGGATAGGGGCCGGCGCCGAAAAAGTGATCACTTTTTTTCGATTTCTCAAACTTCTCTATATGAAGTAAAGGGTTGATTAATTATAATAAGCCTAGTAAAATATAGCTACAATTTTGCATTTCAAATTTTTTTTAATGAAAATAGAATAAAACAAAAACATAACAACACCAATAAAAATGACATCATCAACAACAAAATCATCCGATTTATTTCGTTATGTAAGAGCGTATTATATAGATCATCATCATAATACATGTATAGTTTCTGTTCAAGCGTTGAAAAGAATATGACTTATATACATGAGCTATTTCAAAAATTGCCTCAGTCATTCGTATTCTACAAAATTTCAACAGTAATTCCATGATATCATACTATAACTGCAACCGCAATTCATTGAGACAATACTTAAACTGCGAGACAATACTTAAACTGCAACCGCAATTCATTGAGACAATACTTAAACTGCAACCGCAATTCATTGAGACAATACTTAAACTGCAACTGTAATTAATTGAGACAAAACTTAACCTGCAACCGCAATTCATTGAGACAATACTTAAACTGCAACCGCAATTCATTGAGACAATACTTAAACTGCAACCGCAATTCATTGAGACAATATTTAAACTGCAACCGTAATTCATTGAGACAATACTTAAACTGCAACAGTAATTCATCGAGACAATACTTAAACTGCAACCGTAATTCATTGAGACAATACTTAAACTGCAACAGTAATTCATCGAGACAATACTTAAACTGCAACCGTAATTCATTGAGACAATACTTAAACTGCAACCGCAATTCATTGAGACAATACTTAAACTGCGAGACAATACTTAAACTGCAACCGCAATTCATTGAGACAATACTTAAACTGCAACCGCAATTCATTGAGACAATACTCAAACTGCAACGGTTATTTTATGAGGCAATACTAACACTTCAACCGTAATTCAATGAGACAATAGTATTTCAATGTGACAATACTTAAACTGCAACCGCAATTCATTGAGACAATACTTAAACTGCAACCGCAATTCATCGAGACAATACTTAAACTGCAACCGCAATTCATTGAGACAATACTTAAACTGCAACCGCAATTCATTGAGACAATACTTAAACTGCAACGGTTATTTTATGAGGCAATACTAACACTTCAACCGTAATTCAATGAGACAATAGTATTTCAATGTGACAATACTTAAACTGCAACAGTAATTCATCGAGACAATACTTAAACTGCAACCGCAATTCATTGAGACAATACTTAAACTGCAACACTAATTCATCGAGACAATATTTAAACTGCAACCGTAATTCATCGAGACAATACTTAAACTGCAACCACAATTCATTTAGACAATACTTAAACTGCAACTGTAATTCATCGAGACAATACTTAAACTGCAACCGCAATTCATTGAGACAATACTTAAACTGCAACAGTAATTCATCGAGACAATACTTAAACTGCAACCGCAATTCATTGAGACAATACTTAAACTGCAACCGTAATTCATTGAGACAATACTTAAAGCCTCGGTCTCACTTACTCCCGGCAGAGCCCAGGACCATCCCGGTAAGTTACCGGGATGATCCGGGACGATCCTGGATGAAATTATTGTTGCGGTCACACTTACCCCGGCAGCACTACGGTAGTTCTCTACTAACCACCCAGGATGCGCTCCGGATCATCCAGGCAGAGCCCAGGTGAAGCTACGGTTCATGCCGATGCTTCCCCGGTTGTTCCCGGATGACGCCGGAAGAGCCCCGGTTGACCCAGGCAGAGCCCCGGTCGATCCAGGCAGAGTCCCGGCAGAGCCAAGGACGATCCAGGTAGAGCCCCGG